GGAACTGCAATATATTTGGCAGCTAAAGCATTTGAAATATCTGGGTCCAACATATAGACTGCAAGTCTGCTTTCTATTCTCTTGCATTCAAACTTTTCGCATGTAAACTTAACTGGGTCCCAAGCATCTCCAGCAGCATTGAAATAATAGTTTACTTCAGTGTTGAGGTTTGAGAAACCAAAGTCTAAGTCAACTTTGTTTTTGCAAAAGTCGGCGAATGACATTTTATTTGTTCCACTACTTCTGTAAGAGTGAATGGGTCTTGTGTTGGTGCAATGACTAAGTTATTTTTGCTTGGAGTAAGTTCGATAGAAATTTTTCCTGCCCAGTTTGGCAAGTATCTTAAAAACCTGAAGATGAGGAAAGATGACAAAGGAACTCTAAGTTTCATTTTACTTTGGTTACTGCTGCTGCAGTTTGTCCAGAAAGGTTAACATAAACTCCTGGAACGTTAGGGTCAAGTCTTCTTATTTTCTCAATAGTTGCATACTGGTCTGTTTGTTCTCTAGCTTGTGGTTGTACTGAGTTTCTCAAAGCGAACCATTCATAGTTTGCCCATGTTACTGTTTGAACTAAGTCAGAGTTAGAATATATCTTATATCCCATGAAAACTTCTGGAGCATATTGGTATCCGACATAGAAAATTCCATTGCAACCTTTCTTGTCAGACAACTTGGCAGAAGGTTTTATTTCAATGTCTTGTTCCACGTATAAGAAAGAGTTGTCAATAGAAATTATATGAAACCTGTCGCAAGCAATATCTACTGTTGTTGAAGAACCTTCTCCAAACTCACCTACGTTTCCATAAGAAACAGCAGTTGTATATTCGTAAGTTCCAGGAACTATTTCTGACCTTCTAATGGCATTGTCGCATTCGTTATACCATTCGGAAACATTTCCATTCATGGCATCCAAAACTGTTGGCGTTATATTCTGAGCGGCGTACATTTCATATGAGTAAAAATATAGAATAGTTGGATTTATATGTCATAATAGAACCCACGTGGACCAAGCTTTACTTTCTTCCTGACTGAGTTTTTAACTCTTCTTTTTCCTTCATTGCCCTCTGCTTGAAGTTGTTGCATCTTTGCATTATGTTCATCTAGTATTTGCAAATTTCCCATGTCCTTTTTGCCTTTGGCTCTGGTCGCCCATCTCAGGTAACCTATATCCTAGAAAGAGTTTGTCATAGTCTGTATTTGAGTCTTCGCGTATTGTTTGCATGACTCTTTCCTGAGTTTCTGGTTCAAGCTCTTCAAACAGTGCCTGTCCATATGGAATAAGCTCGTTTCCAAATATATGTTTTTGTAGCCATTCTGGTTTTCTTTCCATGTTACCAACTATATCTTTTGTGAATGGGAAAGCTTTTACCCAATCTTTCAGTCTTGCGTCGTTTATTTCTGTAGTTGGTTTTATTTTGTCAAGGAACATGTTTTTCAATACTAACATTTCATTTGGTACTGTCCATTTGAGTTTTCTTAAATATTCATCCCTTCTCAGTTCATTGTCTGCAAAGTAAGTTTTTATGACATTTTGTAAACTTTCATTTGCAAGGTCATGTACAATAGGTTCTCTTCCTTCTCTCCATAACTTTCTTTCTAAACTCTTCACCAAATATACCATCTCTATGGTTCTGTGTAGTTCTTTGAGATAAATGTTCTAGAACGTCAGGTGTTATATTTCCATCAGCCATGTTCATTTCATACTGGTCCAAAATATCTGCATGTTTCATATCTTTCAATGGCATTAAAGCCGCGCTTAAAATACCAGCTATGTCTCGTTCACCATTGACTTCCATTGCGTCTACAACTTCTTGGAATTTGGTTGTAAGTTTATGAACCACCTATCCGGGTTAGCTTTATGACCCCATCTCATTGTAGTTCCATCGTCTGCAGAAACAAAAGTAGGTTTGTTTCCATCTTGGTTAGGTTCTGAATGAACTTTAAACAATGTTTCATTTCTATATGTTTTCTTGAAATTTAACCTTTTATTTTCACCGAGTTCATCCGAAGATTGAACGTTAAATGCTCGTAAGTAAAAAGGGTTGTTGTATTTGTGTACATTTTCTTTCAGTACTTCCATTCTATGCTGAATATTTTCATCTGGTGTTGGAGTCTTTTGTATGTCGGCAAACATTTTTCGATATTCTTCTACTATGTCAGCCGAATTTTTCTTAGACTCTTGGAAATATTCCATATTCTCCGCATACTCTTGTTGAGGGTCAAGATTTTTCGGCTGTTCCAAATCTTCATCTAGTTCTGTGAAGTTAGTTTCCAAAGGAAGGACTTGTTCGTTTCCTTCAGGCTCTTCTAGCTGTTGTTGCTGAACTATTTCTTCCATGTCTGGTTGTATCTGAACTTCTTCCTGTGGAGTTTCTTGTACCTCATCTGCTGGCATTTCATATATTCCGAGACCGTTTTCAACAATTTCCCTATCTACGTCATCCGCATTCATAAGCTTTTGTTCTTTCGTTCCGTCTCTATTTTTTACGCGTTTCATGACGAAAGTTGAATTGTCATTTAGCTCTGACATCAAATATCTCGGAGTAAATTCATCCATGTCATTTGGATGATATGCTATTAAATCATATCCCTTAGCGAGCTTGTATTTTCCAGGTTTGAGATTATATCCGTTTTGGTGCTGAGCCATAAAGCTAAATAGGTTCGGGTCAGTATTTCCATCCTTGAACTTTCCAATAGCTTCTTTATATCTGTCACTAAAGTCAACAGTATCTGGGAAACCACACTCTTCTTTAAGCATTTTTAAGAATTCTTGGTTTCCTTGTTCTCTACTTCTTTTATGTCCTTGCTCTGTTTGTGGTTGTTGTTGTGCAGGGTTTTGAACTGTTGGTTGCTGTGCTGGTTGTTGTGTTGGTTGTTGTGCTGGTTGTGGAGGTGGTTGTTGTGCTGGTTGTTGTGCATGCCTGTGTCTGTGTCCATGTGACGATGTAAATGTTCTAGGTAGTCCTGGTGCAGGTGCTTCTCTTGGAGGGTTTGGTGGTATATAAGTTCCACCAGCTGGCACATATGTTCCATCTGCAGCATAATGTCCTACCCGACTTTTCGTTTTTAAGAAAGCATTTACTAGGTCTGTTTTAGTCTGTTGTAACTCTTTTTCTTGACTTTCCACAACAGTTGCTCTAACGGCGTCATAGGCACTTTGAACTGCCTGTCTCGTTGCTGCATCTGTTATTTTCGTCATATTTTGTGCTACTTCTTTTAACTCTTTGTCGAAACCTTCAGACTTCAGTTTCTTTCCAGATGAGAAGTCGTTCACTTGTTTCACCTTACTATGAAGAGCTTCGAAGGCGTTCTTAAAGTCAGCATTTGTTAAAGCTTCATTTGAACTGTCTTCATCCGCTTGTATTTTTGTCCTTATTGACCCTATAAGCTGGGCTGCTTTAGCGTTGGCTTGGGCATCTAACCAGTCATTGTTAGCTTTTATATATTCTGCGCTTTTCATTGCCTTTTGCATGGCTGCGTCGTTATTTTTACTTTCTTGTGCTAAGTTTTCATACTGTACGGTTTGGTTTTGCAACTGTAAAAGTTTTTCTGCCTTTACATTTGCTTCAACTTCTTTTTTATACTCATCGCTATCCATATATGTCTTCAGGGCTTTTTGTTTTATCTCTTCATCTTTCAGTACTTTATATCGAGTAGTATGGTTTTTCAAATTTATGACATCTTGTTCCATTTTTGCTACTTCTGCTGCTTTTTCTGACACTTTTTTCGCATATTCCTCTGTACTTAGTTCTTTCAGTTGTTCTTCTTTCTTCTTTTTCTCTACGTTTAACTCATTGAGTTTCTTTGTGTGTCTGTCATATTCTAGTTTCTTTTCGTTTTCACTTATTTGCTTCTGTATGTCTATGTTTGACTTTTTGACATCTGTTATTTGATTTTTGAGTGAACTCAAATTCATTTGACTTTGAGGGTTATATGCTGTTCCGTCTGCAGCTCCACCATAGCCTGCCATTTTCGCTAAAAGTGCCGCTCTTAAACCTCCACTCTGTGCACCAACAACTCGGTTTAAAAGCATAGGATTGCTTGACATTTGTTGCAACATAGTGGGGTCATTCAGCATTTGTTGTTGCAACTGTTGTTGTGGTGTTAGTTTTACTATTGGATGTTTCAATGCTCTCTTCCTCTTACGTATATTCTTACGTAGCTTACGTGGCATTTTAAGTGAAGTTAAAAAGCGGCTTTTGACAGATGTTTATATGACACTTTTTGTTCAGCACAAAAAACTACTCGGTCAAAGTGTTGTCAGTTTGGTCATTTACACTCATTACGAAGAAGTCTTGACAAAACATTTTACGAAGAAGTCTTGACAAAACATTTACGAAGAAATCTTGACAAAACATTTACGAAGAAGTCTTGACAAATTCAAGAGGGTAGAAAAGAGGTTAGAAAAGAGGTTATATCTAACCTTCTACCCTAAACATTATTTTTGTCTGATTTTACGAAGAAGTCTTGACAAAACATTTACGAAGAAGTCTTGACAAAACATTTACGAAGAAGTCTTGACAAAACATTTACGAAGAAGTCTTGACAAAACATTTACGAAGAAGTCTTGACAAAACATTTACGAAGAAGTCTTGACAAAACATGAAAACATATATAATTTGTGAAAAGCTCCTGGAAGACCTCCGAATAAAAACTTCATTTATGTGGGCTAGAAGGCACGAAGTGCCTGGAAGCTCACCCCAAGAAAAAAAAACTTCATTATATCAATCATCCTCAGGGCTAGAAGGCACGAAGTGCCTGGAAGCCCCACTCCCTTTTTTTTTTTTTTTTTTTTTTTTTTTTATCAAATCGATGATTTCTTCTGAAAAATCATGTAAGAGAATTTTTAGAACTCCAGAATAGAATTTTAAAGGTACCAAACTGTAGTACAATTTATAAAAAAAGCGTCAGCAAAATTTTCACATATTCGAAATCCGGCTAACAACTTTTTTTTCTTTCATTCTGTTTTTGTCAATTTTTTTGCTTCAAAACTTTGGGATGTTCAATATCATTAAAAAGATAAAGCAACCCCAAGAAAATCTTCCTAAAATCCAAGTAGTTATACGCAAACTCCTTGAAAAAGTCATTGAAACTCAAGGACCTCGTATTGAAGCTACTGATTTAGCTGCTTTATTAGCATACACAGGCAGTGTTGATGATAGTGGTGAATTGATGTTAGCTATTACTATTGCAATGGATCGTAAGAGCGATGAACCTTTAACAATCTTCAAATTGCTTAAAATAATCTATGCATGTTTAGTCAAAGCTCCGACAACATTTTTACCAGCAGCCCAAGCTTTTGCGCCAGAAATTCAAACACTCTGTTATCTTTCATTCGGAAAACAAGAAGCTGGATATCGCGAACACGTACATTTACTATCCAGAGCGATTTACAATCACGTTATCTTTCGCTCTGAATTACCAGAACCTCAGATGTTCCAAATCGAGACATTTGTAACCGAAATTCCTACACAAAAAATTAATCAACCAGTTTCGAATAATCCTAAGGCTAAGCAATTCGAGCAGATGCAACAGCAGCCTCAGAACGATCAAAACGCGTTAACTTCAATGCTCGATTGGAATGATAATTCGGATGATTTGTACGCCAATGCAGAACCTAATGCATCCGAAAACCAAGACCTTACAAACCTTACACCTATCAACGGTAATACTGACGATACACCTCAAAATCAAGAAATAGCCGATGACAAACCACGAATTCCTGCGGCATTCGCTCAGCAAGCCAATCAATCATTACTAGACTTAGATGCTCCGCCAGCCGGACACGAAGAATTAGGTGGCGGATTACTTTTCGACTATTTTGTATCTCCATCGTCAAATCAACCCTCAAAACCAAAGAGAAATCCAAGTGAAGAACTACTCGATCAATTCTTACACGATCCGAATGATGATATTAGCAATATCCCGTTTGCCAAGCAAATTGACGATGAACCTCCAACAAGTGACTTCGCTCAATTGAATAGTAATGGATCTAACGGTTTATTTGACGATGCCGATACTTTACAACACGTTTCTAGCGGTTTTGATTCCTCTCCATTTACGCCGATTTCTCCTGTCAGTAGTACAGAAGCCTCTGATACATTCGATCCATTTTCCAATATTGCACCTGTACAGCAAACAATCAAACCTCCTTCAGGAGATAATTTGGCAAAACCGCCAACGAGTTCGTTTGATTCCCTTGCAAGTTCATCAACTCCTAAGGTCTCCAATGACGTTTTCGATCCTTTCGCGGCCATTCCTTCGAAGCCATCTAATGACCAATTTGATCCTTTCTCCAATATCTCTTCTAGTTCATCGACAGCTAAGCCTGCCCAAGATAATACATTTGATCCGTTCTCAGCAGCTCCAACAAACAAGGGAACTCCTCAACCATCAGCAGATAACACTTTTGACCCATTTGCAGCAACAATTCCTGCGAAGACAGAGTCCAAATTAACCCAGAATGCTACTCCGAAGGCTAATGTCCCATCAACAGAAGACCAATTTGATCCATTTGCAAATATCTCATCATCCAACAGCCAAAAGACACCAGCAAGCAAAGAAACATTTGATCCATTTGCAAATGTTCCTTCTGCCAATAGTTCGGCCGCAAATATTTCAATTAAGAAAGATGAAATCGTAGATCCTTTCGGAAACATTCCATCTTCCCTCCAGAAGCCAACACCTCAGCCATCTGCTAACAATGTATTCGATCCTTTCGCTGCTGCTTCCCCTGCAACAAATTCTTCTTTCAAAGGAACACCGCAGCCATCAGCCAATGGAGCATTTGACCCATTTGCAAGCACAGCAGTCAAACCATCCCCTGTTGTTGTCCAATCTTCAAACGACGATAACACATTTGATCCATTCTCCAACATTTCATCGAATCCAGCCCCAGCAACTAAATCTCCGGCATCCAAGCCATCATCACCAAGCATTAATTCTCTTAATTTATCAAATAATGACGATACATTCGATCCATTTTCAAATATTCCATCCAAAACAACAAATACAGTTAAATCTCCTGCTACAAATCCGGTTTTGGATACTCCGAAAGTCGAAACTTCATCAAATAACGATGATACTTTCGATCCTTTCGCAAATATCTCCTCAAAACCAGCTCAAACTGCCAAATCCCCTTCAATAAAGGCATCCAATCCACAAAGAGCCGTTAATTCTCCAAGTACTGACAACACATTCGATCCATTTTCAAGTATTCCTTCCAAACCAGTCCAACAGACTCCATCGTCTAAACCCGCAACACCTAAAGTTGACCAACCATCAGCAGGAAGTACTTTTGATCCATTTACGAATATCTCATCCACTCCAAAGCAGAACAAACCAACTCCTCAGCCATCAGTCAATGATACATTTGATCCATTCTCAGGATTGACATCAAAACCAGCTCCTGTTGCATCAAATCCATCCCAAATTAGTTCATTTGAAAAAGTTACTCCGAAATCGCCATCCACTGAGACATTTGATCCATTCCTAGACATTTCCAAGCCAAAGCCAGCACCAGCAAGTTCATTTGAACCCATTTCACCCAAAGAAGAAACATTTGATCCATTTGAAAAAAATTCTTCATCGCAAACTCCTTCAAAACCACAGAAATCAACGGATGCATTCGATCCTTTCGTCAGCATCCAACAGAAACCATCGAATCCAGATGTATTTGACTCATTAGGACTTACTCCTGTTCGAGCAACATCTCCAAAGACTACGAACATGATCAACAAAGACATTGATTTATTTGTTGAACCTCCACCTCCAAAACAACCATCAATCAATGCTTTTGCAGCACCAAAGCAGCCATCAATTAATTCATTCGCTGCTCCTAAGCAACCTTCTATTAATTCATTCACTCCTATTAACAACAAATCTTCATTTGACCCAATAAATAAATCACCGTCAAATGAACAAATTTTTGATCCTTTTGCAAAAAGTGACACTCAAAAACCGTCACCAAAAGTTCATGTGCAAACCAAGCAAGGAGTTGATGCATTTGATTTATTGAATAGTAATAATAACAAACAGAGTTTATATGATCCATTTGGAAATAAAGCAAATTCAAATCCATTTGGAGCACCTCAAGCAGCGCAAAACAATAAATCAAATGATATTTTCGCTGATACATTTACACCAATACAGAGATCGAGATCTTCCATTGTAAAGAATCCTTCTCAAAACGCTTTTGATCCTTTCATTTCACCTAACCCCCAAAAATCTGCCAACGGAACAAGTTTCGATCCATTTAATGACCCTGTTCTTCCGAAGAGTTCTTCAACGCCGATCAAGCATGGTAATGATGTATTTGATGTTCTTGATAAGCAACCAAACAACGAGTTATACGACCCGTTCGGAAGCAAACCAAAGAAAACAGGAATTCCTCTGACAAGAGGAAGTTCTGGCGGTTCTAATGAATTGTTTGATCCGTTTAAACCGACAACAACAACTGCAAAACAACCACCAGCATCTTCTACAACAACTACTACAACATCTGGGAGATTCTCTATTCAGAGGACATCGTCCAAGCCCTCAGTTGACTCCCTAGCACAAGTATCTCCGAAACCACGGGGTTCTGCACCAAACGTTTTCGATTTGCTTTAATTTTTTATATATTTTTTTTCACTTTTTTTAGTATAAAATTTATGACTTTTCTAGCTTTATTTCATCTCATTATACAAGAAATTACTAAATTGCATTTTAATGAAGTGAATTATCATATTAGATGTAACTTGAAAGAGTGGAAAGGGTTAAATATAAAGATTTTTAATAAATTGGCATAAATTTTGGATAAATGATTAGGATTTAATGTATTTTTCTGTTTGAATTATGTTATATAGATAAATTCCAAAGTTTGAAGTAGATAGTGAAATGTTATAAGATGATTTTGATTAAATAAATTTTTAGCATGAATTATATTAAAAAATAACAAAGATATCGTACTCTTTGGGTTATGGGTTTTACGATAGTGGTTAAAGATTTGGGGCTAATACATTAGTTGCGGTTCAGAAATCAAGATGAAATTATTTATTATGACGTATTCTTCACAAAATTTGAAAAGTTTGTTATAATGTCACGGATAGATTAATAGAAAACATATACTTTAGAGTTGTGATGAATAAGTAGTATATTTGTTATGTACATTTACAATATTAATATGTTTCATGTTAATTAGATCAAGAATTTTTATTTCCGAGTAATTATTTGAAGAACTCTATTTCTCCAACAAAAATCCCAAATTTCATAGATATATCTTAGAATTTATGTCGAACAATAAGAGCACAATCGGTTAAATTTGGCTAATCATGTTCGAAATTGAAAAGAATAAGAACAATTATCGAACTTTTTTTACATCATACATTTTTCTTGATATAATTTCCATCTACGTGCTAAGTTTGTTATGATTCTTAGCTTAAATTGGAAACCCTTAAACGATCGATTTTGTAAAATTTCAGAAAACTCGGATTTATTCTGCGCTCGCAAGAAGGAAAGTGTATCACTGATCGAACAGTATGTTTGATAACTTGTTGGCCAAATCACGAATATTTTTATCAAAATTTTGAAGAATTACAAAATTCAAGGCCGAACGTTCATTTCAATAAAGAACATAGCTTTAATTTTGTTAATTACAGGAATGCATGCAACATACTCTCAAGATCGTTTAAAAAAATGAAACCGAAATTTGGCTAACAGAAGATTGTGAAGTAGATTGACCATTCTTGGAGAAATGATTAAGATATATAACTCTTTTTAATTAAATGGATTTCATTTCTAAATTAAATGGTATTTCTTCAAACAGATTTGAAGGGTTTTTCCTACAGATTGGCTAATTGGCCAAATCCCGGCTAAATAGACTCATGCATATATACTGATTTTATATCCGTGATCAAATTAACCTGATGTTATAAACATTCATTTCGGAAAAATGAAGGTAACAAATTTATGACACGAGTAATTGGAAAATTGGTAATCCCATTAGGAACAGAACACTCATAAATCTTCTAAATAGTTCGGACAATTAAGGGTGCACCCGTATGTACGTTTATTTGAGAGGAGGAGGAGGATTACCCTCTCAATTTTGAGGGATTCGTTAGTTTATTTTCTCGATGAATATGCAATAAAATTTGATTTTTACCTTATCAATATACTTCATATAATATACACATGTTCATGTAAAAACTTTTTTCCCAAAATCCTCAGGAATTAAGGGATTTTTGAATTTTAAGAATTTTTTTCGAATTTTTTCGAAAAAAAAATATTTTCAGAACAGCCTTAACGGCTAAGATTTAGGAACAATGTTAAGTATCAAAAAGAAAGGAGGTCTGATATAGACAACATATATCGTTGAAGGTTGAAAAAATCTCTAATATTTGAGCCCAAAATTTCAAATTTTAATTTTTTGAAAAAAGAGGCCACCCGTATGTACGTTTATTTGAGAGGAGGAGGATTATATTTTTGAAAGGGTGAAACATTATGAATATGTTAATTATATAATAATATGTATTATTATAAAAAAGAAAAAATAAAGCACGTTAAAATTTTTCTTTCTTGATTTTTTACAAAATCTACTTAGAATTATGCAAAATATGACTAAATAATTATAAATTTCAAGTTAAATTTTAATTTTGATAAATAATTTAAATTTCAAAATATCAAGTTCAGTTCGACTATGTATGTAGTAATTCCTCAATAAAGTGCCAAAACCCTATTAAAATATATGAACATTTTCAACATTTTAATGTTTTTATTTAAAAATTTGTTGGAATATGAGCTTCAAACAATTATTATGTAAATAAAAATAATTAAATATATGTATTTATTCGTATTACAACCGTAGTAAGTCGATTCTTCCTTTCTTCTACTGAGTTTTGAATTTGATTTCGAATTGTAAAGAGATTCAAAGGGAAAATACTAGCGGATAAAAACTACCTCCATGAAAGGGTCATAATGGAGTCAAGTTGTATTTTTTGATATTTTTTGCTTTTCGAGCCTAAATAGGTAGCCAAGATAATGCCTAAAAATAAGGTTCTAAATTCTGAAGTTTACATGATCCTCTCGTGTGCCCCCTTAAAACAGGAACTTCCCCATACGTTTACTATTTATATTCAAAAACACAAAAAAAATTCCTAGTCAATTGAAATCATTTTTTAATGTTAGAAGGATTTCCAGTTCCAGACTTTGATTTTGATGATGATCCAGTTCGTTCTACTTATGCATCTGTAGACATTGCAAGTCAATCAATTTCATGCGAAGATTACGAAGAACTTTGCGAAAAGAGTGGAATCGTATTAGCTTCATCAACCCCTTTACGGTGTACAAGTAACTCTGTGGTTTTCTCAGCAGAATCGGTAAATGGCAACGAACAATACGCAATTAAAATTACACCACATAAACATAGAGTCCATGAGGAATACGACAAGAGGAACTTAGTTACAGATTCCCCTTACATAGTAAAGACAATATCATTGTCCGAGTCTCCTACAAAAGCACTTCTTAAGATAGAATTGTGCGAACTCGGTGACATCTCGAATTATACATTTACAGAAGATGATATCTGGAAAATGATCCATGATATCGGTACTGCATTGAAACATCTTCATTCCCAGGGCTGGATTCATCTCGACGTCTCTCCTGGAAATATCCTTATTACGAATGACTGCTTCAAATTGGCTGACTTTGGCACACTAACTAAGATCGGCGAGTTTGAGGAAGGCAATGAGGGCGCTGGGCCGTTCGTTTCACCAGAAGCCCTCGCATTCCCTTGCACAGATTTTGAGGTTGGTCCTCCTACAGATATATTTTCCTTCGGCGTTGTGCTTTTTGAATGCGCCTCTCAGCAAGCCGCACCCCGCGGAGGCTGCCCAGGTTACTCCAAAATCCGCAATGGCGAAATTCTTCTGGGACAGGGCTCTTATCCATGCGAGCATTCTCAGGAGCTCATAGACCTTATCAACATGATGCTTGCAGTTGATCCAGCAGAGCGCCCAACAGCTGAGCAATTAGTTCAGGCAACAGGTATGTAATTTGTTCCCTGCAACTCCGGACCCGCATTATTTTATGTATAGATTCTTCTATTGTTTGTTTTAAATTCTGTTATTTATTCTTTCATTTAAATTTTTAGAATTTTTTCTAAATTTCTCAAGAATAAAAAGGTTTTGGTGGTATATATTAAAGGAAAAACATGTTTAAATAAATACAAACAAAATAAAATATATAAAAGGTTTGGTATTTTTTGATGATGGGACGATTATTGTAAAACGCCGCATCACTTTGATTACGTAAACTAAAATTTTCTAATGGACCTTCGAGTTTCTATGTTCCAGCTGTTATACAAGCTTGGCGAAGTGTCCAATCTATCACTAGTTGCATCAGAATACGGTAAGGAGCTACAAGATCCTCAAAGCAACATGAAAGGAGTCCTTTTTACGCACCAAGTTACCATTGACTACAATAAAACAGAAGAATTCTCAATACAGCTAATGTGTCTTATGAGAGATGACTTCTCTACCTTCAAGAAACTCATCAGACAAATCTGTTTCCGTATAATTAAGCGTACAATTGCAATATCAGCAGGTGTAGACTGCATAAGGCTTGACAAGACACAAATACGTATTACAGTCATTCCTACGAACATACCTCATGCAGCAATGACAAGGTTGTTCTGTGGTCTATATTGTTACGGTGAATCTATCGTTTCTACTTCCGGTATCGTCACTAGATTGGCCGACCAAACAATGGCTATCGTCCGATATTTATATGTCTGTCCAGATGACGGATACGAAGAATATGTTACTCGAAACAAAAACAACAAGAAATGTCGTGACTGCGGAAACAAGTTGATTGAAGATGTAACAGGAAGATTACTCATCAAATCAATCACATTCACATTATGTCCATTCGATTGTCCACAATTGAATCTCCAAGTAGAAATGAGATCAAATGATTTGCCACCGAAAATCGGTGATCAAGTAAAAGTGACAGGAGAATTTCACGGAACAATTTTGAGAGCACTTTTTGTAAACAAAGAAATAAAAGTGACAAATGATCGGAAACAATTTGACAGTACATTCAAATCATTATTGAATTTACTTGAATTCATTTGTCCAGGAGAAAGTCAGGAAGTGAAGAGATTAGTCTACTTTGGGATGATTTCATTGATATCAAATGAATCAATAACAATGATATGCGACAATGAAATGAAGCTCCAACAAACAGCAATGGCGTTGAAAAGATATTTGGATATCGATGCAACGACGCCAAATAAAAGTCTGACAAAAGAAAAAGGTTTCTTGACACTCAAAAAAAGTTGTGCCATTTTACACGCGGATTTGAGTTCGAATAAAATGACAGAGAACATTTTGAACGCTATGTCAAATGGAACACCTTATATTCTACTCTTGAAAGATCCATCAAAATTCAGTTCAATTCAATTGTGCTGCAGAGTTTTCGATGTAATAAATTTGGTGTCAAATTTCAATAAAAGTGACATATTGAAAACATCCATTGATTTGTTCAGAAGAGTTTCAGTTGATGACGAAGCGAGTTTGATACTGACAAGGTACTCAATCAAAAGTGGATGTGATGCAGTTCCAGCTGCAAGAGCTAATGCAGCAATGAGAGGAAGTGCAACTGTTGAGAAACTGGACGCAATGATGGCTGTTTACGTCTGTGAAGAGAAAAAGAATTCTCTCAACTCAACTTCTTTCATAGGAACGAATCCTTCAAAAGGTTTCCTCTTCTTCAATCCATCTGACTCAATCATCCCTTCCAACGATGAAATCTTACTCTTCAACTGCTGGTCCTCAAAAGTTGAATGTTTCTTAGAAGCAGAAATTTGAATTCAATTCTTGATCGTTTTTTTGTAAATTTGATTTTTGTAATTTTTTTGTAAACTAAATTTTGTCAGAAATTTTTGTAAATTGTTTTTTGACAAAAATGTTGTTTGGTAAATTAAGGATAAGAACGAATTTGTTGAGTGACCAAAGAATCAGTTAAGATTTCAGGTTCAAGGTTTTGAGGAAGAGAGTTACGAGCTACATTTCTATCGAATTTGAAGCCTGTGAAAGCGAGAGAAATCACGTCATCTTGAGATTCTTCTTCAGGAAGAAGTTCTCTTGGTTCGAATTCATCGAAGTTCTGTGTATCAGTTTCTGATTCTACAGAAGGAATTATCGGTGCAGTTGACTCAGAAATTTTATCGAAGTCGATTTCTTTGAAGAAAGGATGTTTCATGCAATCTTCAATAGTAAATCTTCTCTTAGAGTTACAGAGTAAGTGTTTCATGAGGTCAACAGCTTCAGGAGAGATCTCTTTTAACTTTGGAAATATAAGTGTAGATTTCCAATGAATTATGTTGATCGCTGTATCTGCAAGATAAGGAGGCTGTCCGTAAAGCATTTCGTACATGATTGCGCCCAAAGACCATAAATCTACTTCAGGACCGTAAGGTTTCTTTAATAAAACCTCGGGAGCTATGTAATCAGGCGTACCAACAGTAGAACAAATTGCATCTTTCTTATGGTTTGATTTAAGGGGCTGTTCTTTACGTTCAGAATTCGGATCTCTGCAAACGTCTTCTACTTCGTCCAAAATGGTTACGAAGTTCTCATCTCTATGGAGAGGAGTAGATAATCCGTAATCCGATAATCTGATATGTCCATCCTTTGTTAATAAAATATTATCGGGTTTAATATCGCAATGAATGTATCCAAGGGAGTGGACTTCGCGTATTGCGAGTAGTATTTCGGCAATGTAAAAGCGTGTCTCTTCTAAAGTTAAATATGAACGGCACATCAAGACAGTTAATAAATCTCCTCCTGGGAGGTATTCCATTACGAAATAAATGCTGTACATATCTTGAAAAGCATAGATTAATTGAACAGACCATTTGCTGTCCATCCTTGATAGTAGATCTTTTTCTGTCAAAGTGTTTCTTAATTGGCCTTTTGCTATCAGTTCTGACTTCTGAATAATTTTCATTGCATAGATTTTGTTGTCTGTCTTATCGCGTACGAGATATACATCTCCGTACTCTCCTTTGCCAATAATTTTTATTTTTTCAAATTGAGAACTACGTAATACTTTTCTTTTCATTCTTCTGAACTCAGATATTCTAGATGCGTAATTTAATTCAAGAGATCTGCGCTGTTCGGGCGAAAATTTTTCTTTTATTAAATATTCATTTAATCTTTGCTGTGTTGTTATCTCACTGTTGGCTTCATCGATGATACTTTTAAAATGTTCTTCCATATACGTCTTAGCAAGCTCGGATTTTAGTATAGAAGAACGAGATACTGTCATTCGAGGCATTGGAGAGAGTTTTTTGTGCGCTTCATTTGGGCAAATAACGATTTCATCATCAGACTTTATATATGTGTGAGTTTCATTGCTTGATTTCTTATTTATATTTAAAAGTCTATGAACAAAAAAATATAAAATCAAAAATAATTGTTATAATTTAAATGAAGAAGTAATTTAAAACGATTTTATTTATGATCAAATTTTATATATTTTTTTGGATCAAATCCATTTTAATAGAATTTATATACTATTCATCTATTAGTAAACACTACCGTATATTATTTTTTAAGCTATCTTATTTTTTGAACTTTTATTCAAATCTTTGGTCGCAAGAAGAATTGCATGATAAATAAAAACATTTAATCAAAGTCAATTTTATTTTTCATATTCAAATGGACTGAGTGTTAACATTTAACATTTTTTGCTAATTGTCGTCAAAAATTAAGCGTAAAGCAAAAATTGATATTTCATATGGTTTTATGATAGATAAGCATTATATTCCCACTCATTATATTCGTAAATTTTGAGGTTTATCCTTCGCTTTTAAGATCATTGAATTTGATTTTTATATAAAATAGTTATATATTAGAAAATAATATGAGTTTATGTGATATTATTTTTCAGAAGATTTCATTCTATATGCCTATGAAAAGTACTCTCAAAACTAACTTTTCCCTAATTATAATTAAATCTAGAATATTGTATTATGCTTAGTATTATTTCATTTTTCTCATTCAATTTAGAATTTACAAATGTCAAAAAATTGAGAGCTGTCACTTTTGATAAATTTCTGTTTATTACATTATTTTTGCTTTACGGACTATTGTTAAATAATTTATCAAATTATTTTTCTCGACCATCGGTGGGTACGCATGTAAACTTTTCAATTTAGGGTTCGACCTAAAATTTTAGCAAAATTTTGCATGCTTTCCTTCGTAGAAAGGGAAGAAAGCATGATAGAGATGCTGGAAACCATCAAAACTGAAGATTCAAGCACTGTTTTCCAACTTATTAAAGATAATTTCGATCTTTCAGATGAAAATTACTTATGGATGCTCTGCAGGAACATTTATCATGTAGCATACGCTAACCCAATGTATATTAGCGAAATTGCTAAATTCGCTTTACTAATAAACAATTCATTAGATGATAAACTCAAAGAGTCGTACGAAGCTGGTCTCTCAATCCCTATTGTAATTGTTAATTACGACAATCCTGATGATCCTGCACACTCTGATATATACCCTGTTGTCTCCTCTCATGAATCTTTATATTTATTCGGTATACTCGCTCATTACAAGATTGTTAAGTTCACAGACCACTTGAACTCCGTATTTAAACTATTCCACGGTAAAAGTTCATTCCAAAAGACTCCGATTTTCAACGCAATTATTCCTTTACTTTGCAGTGTTGCGAAAACACTTGATAGAGAGTGCCCATACATGATGAAGCAGCTAAAAAGGTATCTAGAGAAGAAGAAACCAGAAATATTAAACGAATTAAAGGCAATATTAAATACAGAAGGCGAAGAAGACATTTTGATTACTCCATGCATCAAAAGACCATTTGATACGAAATCGCAGCTGTTTATATCAGATGAAGCATTACTACAGATCGCAATTAGTAATGATGACAGAGAATACATCCAAGAATACTTTTCTAATCCAACAAAGAGTACTTCCATGGTTCTTAAAGCATCAATCATCACTCCAAGTGACTTTTTAGTTCGTGATGCCACAGTTTTACACTTTTGTGCATTTTATGGAGCGATTGATTGTTTCAAATACTTGATAATGAGTGGTGCAGACATCAAAGCCGTCGAAAGCAGTGATGAACACTTCGGATTGGACTTCTTCGCAACAGCGAGTGGAAATCTCGAAATTTACAGAATTGCAGAACGAGAATTCGGCGGAAATCTTGCACAATCATTGTATTCATCAGTTTGTTTCTGGAATATCAACATCACGAGATGGTTAGTTGAGAATAGAAAGACAACATTTACGAGAGATCTCCTTATTGCTGCTGCTTCGACAAACAACATAAAGATTGTCCGATTTCTGATAAACAAAGGTGTTACATTCTGGGGTGATGAAAATGAAGTTGAAGGAAATGGAGAGTTTGATGTTGAAGATTTAAATGTCATCAATGTCGAAGTCAGTGAAGATTTTGATGCAGATGATTTGGATTCATCTCCATTAGAAATTGCTGCTCAATGGGACTGTTTCTCAATTGTTATTTTGTTCTGCCAAGCACTGTCAATGATGCCAAAAGAGTTGTTCAAGCGAACTTTCATTACTGCTGTTGAAGCTTCTTCTTTGGATATAATTAGATACTTGGCAAATCACTACTCTGATTTATGCACTGAAGAATTGATCACTGCTGCATTAAAGAGTTCTAAAGATAATGACCTTGAAAAGTCAACAAAGATTATTCAAGAATTATTCCCTCAATATATAGAAAAATCTTAAAATATTATTATTGTTGTTTATTCAATAGATATATATTAATAAAACTATTTTATATACATAGATTATCTTTGAAAAATGCTGAATAACTTTTTACAGATAATAAAGTGTTATACAACAGAAGGTAATATTATAAGTGAAACAAATTGAGAAAAAGAAAAACCTGTCGCACCGTATTTACAAAATTTAATATTTTCGTTATCAATATTATCCAATAATGTGATTTTGATAATACCATTTCCATTTCGGATTCCATTTTTAGTAGATGCTTTCATCAAAAAATATTCTTGTTTGTAAATGTATCCCTCTGGCTTAAAAGAAGTCGAAGTTAGAACATATCCTGAGCCTCCTGCTCCACTAAATCCATGGCCTTCAGATGCAGCTCCTCCATACCAACCTCCCCCACCCCCAGAACCAGTATATTCATTTGTTCCAGAAGAAGATCCTCCTTTTCCAAACGTTGCTATAGTACGATGATTATTATATTCTGCCTCTCCTGGATTTATTTGTGTACCTCCATATGCTGCATATCCATCATATTTTAGAAAGTATACTCCATTTCCACCTTGGTATCCTCCTCCTGAGCCACCCCAATAATTAGCATTCCTATCAGTGCTATCTATATAATTGATTCCGTGTCCTGACCCCCCTCCACCGCCTGCAACTATTATTCTGGTGTTTAAGTTATCTTTTTCAAGACGAATATCGCTAGCACCACCTCCTCCTGCTCCATAATAAGCGTTATTGTAATAATATCCATGCCCACCATTAAATCCGCCAATTTGATTATCAGTTCTTTTCTCGGCTGTTCCTTTTCCGCCGATATATAAGAAGCCTTTGGTTTCGTTTTTTAATGAAAGAATGCCTTTTGAATATCCTCCTGCACCGCCATTTTCAGACAAATAGCCTCCGCCTTGTGCTCCCCAAACTTCAAGCAAATATCTACCTGGTGGAAAATTAACTTCATATGGAGCACAATCATATGTATTTTTGCATGGATATTCAAATGTATATTCGTAGTTATTGTTAATATTTACTTTATTTTCTCCTTTAGAGAAGTTTGTTAAGTTGAATGTAAATGGCAATTTTAAAAATTAGAAAAGGAAAGAGAAAAATGTATTAAAAAGATAAGCACTTTAATAAAATAAGTGATTTGATAGCAATGGGATTTGGATTTTGAGAAAATCATGGTGAGTTGGGAATCGACTAAAACGATTTATCTGGGTCTCGTTTCTTGATGGTAAGGATATATGATACCAACTGTTGAGCTGATTTTTTATTATTCATGGCTAAACATATGAGATCAAAATATGGCAAATATTCCAATTGTCTGACAAATTCAAGTCAATTCAAACCTTAACTTTAAAAATAATCATAGTCAAGATAAATGCAATTATGTAACATTTTTGGCCACTAATATGCTTAAATTTTGAAATCTTTTCAATTTTTTGAATATGGATCCGAAAAATATAAATGATAAATATATCAATTATTAAGTATTTTAATATTTTTAATCATTATATCTGCAAGAACAGATGAGTTAATCAAATCAGGTAAATATAAAATATTGAATTTTGGCAAAATATTCTATGCAAAACTCTCAAAACGCATGTAACTTTCAATAAAACAGTTTAAGTTATCGGCGATAACTAAAGTATATGAAAAATGGCCACTTTTGGAGCTTTGGCATCATGTACAACAAAATTTTCGTAGAACAATCGAATACTTACTGCCAATTTTGAAGTTAATGCAACTTCCACTTTCTTCTGAAGTGCATTTACTAAAAGAACACCGATTATGTAAAAACAAAAAGTTTTTAATTGGATCAAAGTTGATAGCTCTGTCGTTATCATCAAAAATTATTTATCAAGTATTCATATTTATATTTTCTATTCATGAATAAAAGTGGCGTGCATATTTACCTTGCATACACATTGAAAGTAAAATGCACTTGAAAAAGAAAATTAAAGATAAGTTTTCAATAACAAAATAAATATTTATTTCCTATCATACTCGATGTTCTTCATTAACCACATCTTGCTAATTAAGCGAAGTGCTTTCTTGTGTTCTGGGTGGTCACTAATAATAGATGATTCTTGTAGAAATGGAGAAACAGGAGAGGTTCTTAAAACTGAAACAGATGAAATAGTTTCATTATGATTTCGGAGTTCTGCATTAGTTCGTTCTAATTCGGACAATTTAACAATGTTAGTTTTTGAATCTTTAATAAGTTGCATGTTATGTTTGCATTCTTCTTCAAATTCTTTAAGACTTCTATCAAGACTTGTCTTCAATATTGAAAGCTCAATTTGCATTCCTTTATCTCTTGGAAATGTTGTTTCTTAAGTTGTGAAAGCTTTTGTGTCAATGTGTTGATAGTTTCATTAAGTGTCTGGATATCATGTGACATTTTAGATGTGTTTGTAGCTGCATCTAAATATCGTTGCTCAATATCAGATTTATCTTCTTGTGATTTCTTAATAAGTTTATTTCTTCTTCAAGTTCAAACTTAGAGATTTGTGTGATGTATTCTTTCTCTCATTGTTCTAAAACGGAAATCGATTGAAGTTGTTTATTAAGTTCGCTGTTCTGCTCAGTAAGCTTCTGGTTCTCTTTGTCAAACATCAATACTTTACGATGTAAATCAGAAACTTCAGCACTAACGTATGTAATTTAGTATGTAATTTGTAAGTTAAAGTTGTGTATTAAAATTCTGTTCTCCTATTTTTATGGGGAAATAGTTGCAATGATCATTTCTACCATTTTCGCAAAACCTAGCTTTGTATTTAATGACTTGATTCAATTTTAAGTAATTTTTTTGTTAGTAACTGACAAACATACGTAGAATAGTGTGATCGTCGAAACTTTGTCAGTACCTACTCTGACTATGACTGTGCTCATAGCACTTATGATTGTCCAAAAATATTGCCGCGATATGGAGGAAAAGTGATTTTTTAAAAAATTTTACAACTATTCAAACCCACCCCCTTAAAATCTGGGAAACTCAACTGGTAACCTTTCAATATTCTAGAATATTCCTTTCAAAATAGTGTACTCAAAAAATTCAATATTTTGATGACATCTCGACTAATTGAGAATGAATCTGACAATGTCATGATTGTTGCATGCTAAGTTCGGTCAAAATGTAAACCTCTCAATTTTATCGTCGGGGGAAGTAACTCAATTCCTTCAAAATTATTCTTTAAATATTGAATTTAAAGTTATTTAATTTGGATTATAAATAAATAGGCTAATACAATATTTAAAAATGAGAAAAAATAACTTTTCAAAGAACTTTTCATAATCTCAAAGAAAATTTTTTATTCAATAATTATATAAATTAATTAACATTCATAATGGAATTGGATTTTTTTATAAAAAATTGGTCCTACTTAACTTTTTGAGAGAATTTGGCTTTTCATTTTTTATTATGAGTAGACCAACCATTCCTTCTTGGTGGTTAATTCAAACACGCAAAAAACTTGAATCTCGCGAACTCAATTATTTAATTGCGTGTAAGCGAGTTCCATACGAGGATGAAATGAAGTGTGAATTTAGATCAATTTCGAAAAACACACTTAAAGCAGCATACACAAATGCAAATTTAACACCCCCAAACGTTAAACCCGGTCCGGCACCAGATGATATTACTCCTGAAAATTTGCAATATGTTCTCCAAAAATTTCAGGAATATAAATGCGGAATCCAAAAGATGTTTTGGCGTTTAAACATGGATCAAAATGTTTATTCAGTTTCCTACAATAAACTCAGAAGAATTTACAGTATTTTGGAGATCAAAGAACCAAAAAGTGACAGGCCCCCTCAAAAATATTATACGCCATATGAAGCAACAAAACCTGATACCATATGGCATGTAGATGTTCATTTTTTATACGGTTCACAGAGGTTACCTGTTTATGGTATAATAGACGATAAATCTCGGTTTTTGTTGGCTTTAAAAATTTTGCCAAATAAATAAATCTTCCGAATCTACAACAAGAGTTGCCGAAGAAACGATTGGCTTATATCAAAAGCCATTTTGTTTCTGGTCCGACAAGGGGGGAGAGAATATGGGCCAATTTTATAATTGGCTCATGCGAAACAACATTCAAATCCGCCACACTCTCCCCCATATGCCGCGCCAGAACGGCAAGATTGAAAGGCTCTGGCCGTCTCTTGAAAGAAATGTCGGCCGGTCTTCAAATGCAAAACAAATTCAAGAATTTCTTGATAAATTCAGGAAAAATTACAACTCAGTACCACATAAAACCCTTCCCAAAAAGGGTTTTCGCCCATGACTCCAGAAGAGTGTTACAATGAGACACCACATTGGAAACAGGGTGAAACGCCATTTTGGAGAGTTATGATTGATGGACACTTCGAAATCAAAGAAATACCGAACCATTGAATACACAATTACGAATAAACGCTTAATTTTTATAAAAATCTTATTACATTTTTCCTGAATTTTTAAATTGTACAATAAAGATGGAAGGCTTTGGGTACATATTAATATAATATACCTCAAAGCCTTCCATCTCCACTACAAATGGGAGAAACTTTGTCCGAATAGTTTAACATTCGGACAAAGTTTCTCCCATTTTAAGAAGGAATTGCAGGGTAAGAGGTACATAGTATGAATATATACCTCTTACCCTGCAATTCCTTCTAGAAAGTTCCAAAACTTTGGGTTAATTGCAAGACATTAACCCAAAGTTTTGGAACTTTCAAGTGGAGATGGAAGGCTTTGGGGTACATATTAATATAATATACCTCAAAGCCTTCCATCTCCACTACAAATGGGAGAAACTTTGTCCGAATAGTTTAACATTCGGACAAAGTTTCTCCCATTTAAAGAAAGAATTGTTCCTTATGAGGTATATATTCATACTGTATACCTCATAAGGAACAATTCCCTCCTTAAAACGAGAAAACTTGTTCGAAATTGTTTATCATTTCGAACAAGTTTTCTCGTTTTTAATAAGAAACTAAAGGCTATGAGGCACTGATTATATATTAGTGCCTCACAGCCTTTAGTTTCTAATAGATAGCTGGGAAACTTTCTCCAAATGATAAGTTATTCAGAGAAAGTTTCCCAGCTATCTAGTAGAAATTGTTCCTTATGAGGTATATAGTTATAATGTATACCTCATAAGGAACAATTCCCTCATTAAAATCGTAGATATTTTTTACTTATTACTCATGCTTTCAAAATCACAATCCTCTGAAAAGTTATTTTTTATTAAGAATTTAGAATTTTGATAAATACCTTTTTTCAATTTGATATAATACTTATATATTTTCAAAAAGACATTTTGAAAAGATATCTCAAAAGTTCTCTGAAAACCTATTTTTGATTAATTTTGAGAAATATCCGTATTAAATTAATCAATAAATTCATTCAACACTACTTTAATTTTTAAATTCAAAAAATTATATGTGCTTCTTAAAATGTCTCACAAAAATTTTATTATAAAATTATATACAATATTAAAAATCCCACAACATTTTTTTACTTTACATAATCGTACTTCCTCGACGATTAATTTCCCCTCAATTCCTATCGTTGACCGAACTTAGCATGCAACAATATTTCTCAAAATTAATCAAAAATAGGTTTTCAGAGAACTTTTGAGATATCTTTTCAAAATGTCTTTTTGAAAATATATAAGTATTATATCAAATTGAAAAAAGGTATTTATCAAAATTCTAAATTCTTAATAAAAAATAACTTTTCAGAGGATTGTGATTTTGAAAGCATGAGTAATAAGTAAAAAATATCTACGATTTTAATGAGGGAATTGTTCCTTATGAGGTATACATTATAACTATATACCTCATAAGGAACAATTCTCTCTTGATAGCTGGGAAACTTTCTCTGAATAACTTATCATTTGGAGAAAGTTTCCCAGCTATCTATTAGAAACTAAAGGCTGTGAGGCACTAATATATAATCAGTGCCTCATAGCCTTTAGTTTCTTATTAAAAACGAGAAAACTTGTTCGAAATGATAAACAATTTCGAACAAGTTTTCTCGTTTTAAGGAGGGAATTGTTCCTTATGAGGTATACAGTATGAATATATACCTCATAAGGAACAATTCTTTCTTTAAATGGAGAAACTTTGTCCGAATGTTAAACTATTCGGACAAAGTTTCTCCCATTTGTAGTGGAGATGGAAGGCTTTGAGGTATATTATATTAATATGTACCCCAAAGCCTTCCATCTCCACTTGAAAGTTCCAAAACTTTGGGTTAATGTCTTGCAATTAACCCAAAGTTTTGGAACTTTCTAGAAGGAATTGCAGGGTAAGAGGTATATATTCATACTACGTACCTCTTACCCTGCAATTCCTTCTTAAAATGGGAGAAACTTTGTCCGAATGTTAAACTATTCGGACAAAGTTTCTCCCATTTGTAGTGGAGATGGAAGGCTTTGAGGTATATTATATTAATATGTACCCCAAAGCCTTCCATCTTTATTGTACAATTTAAAAATTCAGGAAAAATGTAATAAGATTTTTATAAAAATTAAGCGTTTATTCGTAATTGTGTATTCAATGGTTCGGTATTTCTTTGATTTCGAAGTGTCCATCAATCATAACTCTCCAAAATGGCGTTTCACCCTGTTTCCAATGTGGTGTCTCATTGTAACACTCTTCTGGAGTCATGGGGCGAAAACCCTTTTTGGGAAGGGTTTTATGTGGTACTGAGTTGTAATTTTTCCTGAATTTATCAAGAAATTCTTGAATTTGTTTTGCATTTGAAGACCGGCCGACATTTCTTTCAAGAGACGGCCAGAGCCTTTCAATCTTGCCGTTCTGGCGCGGCATATGGGGGAGAGTGTGGCGGATTTGAATGTTGTTTCGCATGAGCCAATTATAAAATTGGCCCATATTCTCTCCCCCCTTGTCGGACCAGAAACAAAATGGCTTTTGATATAAGCCAATCGTTTCTTCGGCAACTCTTGTTGTAGATTCGGAAGATTTATTTATTTGGCAAAATTTTTAAAGCCAACAAAAACCGAGATTTATCGTCTATTATACCATAAACAGGTAACCTCTGTGAACCGTATAAAAAATGAACATCTACATGCCATATGGTATCAGGTTTTGTTGCTTCATATGGCGTATAATATTTTTGAGGGGGCCTGTCACTTTTTGGTTCTTTGATCTCCAAAATACTGTAAATTCTTCTGAGTTTATTGTAGGAAACTGAATAAACATTTTGATCCATGTTTAAACGCCAAAACATCTTTTGGATTCCGCATTTATATTCCTGAAATTTTTGGAGAACATATTGCAAATTTTCAGGAGT